TGTTTGGGTTCATAATTTTAGAGAGCCGATTTAGTCCATCGTGGTAGGGAAGACATGGCAGGGATCTCAGTTCAAGGTAGCCAGTGTGTGACTGTCCACATCATGGTGAACCAAGGAACAGAGAGAGCAGGGTAAGATCCAGGGGCCAGGCACAACTTTCAAAGGCGTACTCCTACCGACCCACTGCCACCAGCCAGGCCCCAGTGCCAGCTGAGGAACAAATATCAAAACACGAGCCTGTGGGGACATCTCAGCTTCAAACGTCTTTCCATTCTGCCCTCTCTTCCTCCAGGCCCAGCTTCATGCAGTTGTCTCCAAACAAGTTGGGTTATTTGGCTGGTCTTGGCCTCTGCGAGCTTGCTGAGGTTTCATTAGACCTCCAAAATCCTCCGACAACTCAGTAAAATCTACCTGTCTCCACAAGGCATGTCCCTAAATGAATGCCAAACTTTGGGGAGCTCCCATCCCATTTCCATGAAGTCCAGACCCTACTCTCCAAAATCTCTGACCATCTGGGGCCGAGTTAATTATAAATGACAGTCACAGCCCATTTCTCTGCCACAGCAGCTTCTAGATTCTAGGGGTGACTTTCCCCTCCTGACAGCCATGATCACCCCACTGTGTGCCACCTGCCAGCCATTATTCCTTCCAGAAACCCACTAACACAGATGGCAGTGTGTGGCTGGGGGTTGCAGAGGATAAAACAGCATACAGCAAAACCAACTGCACACCCAGTGTCAATTGTTCAGATACGTGTATCAGCCGTTTCCTAGAGCAGGGAATTCCAATGACATGCTTCCTTGGTCATCAGCCAGGCTCCTTTCTCTGGTTCCTCTTTCTATCTCCCACACACATTAGGCCTCACCCACTTGCTTCCTGGCTGCCTCCTACATTTAAAGTCCCTCCCGCTTCTTACCCAGAGTCATCTGTCTCCCTCTTAGTATCTCTTCTTTTTCCCTCCAGGTCCCAACTTCCTCCATCAATAGTCCTGTTTCCCCCTGCTCCCCCAGGACAGGTGCCAGCCTGCTCATCATGAACATGTTGTCAGATGCAGGAAATACACAGGAACTGTTTCAAACAGTCAAGCTCCCCCTCGCGCCCCCGCCCCAAGCATGGGCAGAGCTTGTTTCCAACAAGCCAGTAATTCTGCAGATGCCAGTCTCTGAGCTGGTTAAGCCAAGTGTCAAGATGACAAACACCATAAAACAGATCTTCATGAGGAGAGACTGCAAGTCTCCGTGTGTGTTTTCATTTCGAATTAACACTTCCCCAAAGCACTACCTGTAACCCTCTTCCATGGCTTCTCCATCCTCTGAACCAGTTTTCTTTCCTCCAGTCACTTAGTGAGAAACAAAGCCATCCCACTAGTCAACATCTCAGTTAGTTACGTTGGCAGTAAACACGTGGGTCTCCAGGCTTAGCTCCCAGGGGCACATGCCTTCCCCCAAAGGCTGTCAACTGTCCAAAGTCCACCTGTCCATCTCCCGGGTACCATGAGATAAAGATGGAGAACATGTCCAACAATGTCATCGCCTGTTTCCCATGTACAGCAAGGTCTGAAGGCCAGCGTCTGAGAGACTTTGTACCCTGAACCTCTAAATGGTTCCCGAGGAGCAGGCCTAATTATATCAGTGTCCTGCTTAAAATCCCTAGATGCTTCCACGGTGTACACAGCACAAAACTCAATCATGTTGCAATGATGTCCAAGGGATGTCCTACCTGACCCTGAGACAGCCTTCCAATGGCATCATTCCAAGTAGCCCAGGGGCTCAAGTCAAGGCCCAAAGAGGAATATGGAGGAATAGTCTGACACGTAATATTTTGCAAAGTCTTTTTCAAAACACACACATGTAGGCCAGACATGGTAGCACACACCTTTAATCCCAGCACTCAGGAGACAGAGGTAGGTGGATCTCTGTGAGTTCAAGACCAGCCTGATCTACATAGTAAATTCCAGGATAGCCAAGGCTATATTGAAATACTCTGACTCAAAAAAAAAAGAAAAGAAGGGGGGGAGGAAGGGAAAGGGAGAAGGAAGCATGGCTCTTCAGAAGCCAAGGGCCCTTGGATGATGTCCACCCTCTGTGAAGCTCCTGACCCTGCCTGGCCAAAGGTGGGACCTGACTGACATCCCAAGACAGGCTGGCAAGCACAGGGCCACCATGCTTTGCATTCAGATCCAGCTATGCGTGTTCTCAGGGGTGACAACGGCCCCAAGCCAGGAATAGGCACAATGTCAACAAAGCAGTACACTCAGAAGTTCCTAAGCTGGGAGAGGACCACACAATGCAGAGTTCAGAGCCAAGTGCAGCACAGTCGCAGGAGGCAGGAAATGGAGCTTCAACGGTCCAAACACCTGCAGATGGAGGAGGCCTACAGAGTCTTCAGTAAGGGCCAAGGCCGTTGCCCCACAGAGCTCAAGATGGCCAGGTGCAGGCGCTGTCAGAGGAAACCTCAAAGGCCAGGATGAACTGAATGACAGAATGTTTGCCCTGCATACTCAAGGCCCTAGATTCAACCTCCGTGCCGGGAAGAAAGCCTAGAGCAATGATGTAGAGTAATGTAACGTCCCCCATACACAGTTAGAAAGTAAGTAGAGATTCAGGCGAGCTGGAGGGCTCGGTGGGCAAAGGTGCTTGCTGCCAACCCTGACAACCTGAGTTCAGTCCCTGGGCCCCACAAGATGCAAGGAGAGAACCAACTTCCCCAAGTGGTCCCCTGGCCTCCGCATACATGTGCACACCACTAAATAAGTAACTGGAAAACAAAGAAAGAATGAGAGAAGAAACGAAGTCAACCGGAAGGTTCAACTCTAGTCCGACCTGAGTCAGCAGCACTTACCATCAATTGTTTTTCTCTGTGCTGGGGACCAAATCTAGGGCCTTGTGCATTCCAGGTGAGCACTGTACCACTGAGCCACATTCCCAGACCAATGCAAGTCTTTTAAATATCAAATTATGCACATTGAGAGAGAGAGAGAGAGAGAGAGAGAGAGAGAGAGAGAGAGAGAGAGAGAAGGCAAACGTGGTTCCAGGTCCCTGTGGACCTCACTTAAGAATCTGACAGAGAGGCCGAACTGATATCCAGTTGAGGGGGTTCAGGAAAGAGACCAACCTGGACCAGAGAGATTCCACCAGACAATAATCTCCAGACAGCCCAAGCTTGCTGGTACAATGTGATGAACCTTCACCTGGATGAGGCAGAAATACCATGAATGTCAGAACAGCCAAGCTGGGCCACAAAACAGGAGCTAGACAGCCTGCCAGGGTCTCACAGAATGTACTAAACACCCAAAATAAAGGCAGGAAAAGGACTGTAGAATTACGTTCCTTGTTGTTGTGATAAAAGGTACAACTTGAGCCAGGCAGTGGTGGTGCATGTCTTTAATATTAGCACTTGGGAGGCAGAGGCAGGAGAATATCTGTGCGTTCAAGACCAGCCTGGTCTACAAGGCGAGTTCCAGGACAGCCAGAGTTGTTACATGGAGAAACCCAGTCTCAAAAAAAAAAAAGCAAAGGAAGGAAAGAAGGAAGGAAGGAAGGAGAAATGGCCCAGTCCCAACTCATATCTCTTCAGCACAATTGCTGCACCTAAGGGTCAAGGATCATTACACAAGAGGGACCTGGAAGACTGTAAGAGGCAGAGGAACAGAAAGTGTGCTGTGAAACTGTGTCTCCTCAAAATGTCAGCGAGACTGCATCCATGAAGTCTAGTCAACACGGCTGCCTAAACAAGACTTGAACAGGGGTAACCAATGGACATGCTAACATGAAGGAAGGAACGTGTGTGAGGCTTCAACCCTAGGCAAAGAACTATGGGCCACTGGGGAATTCCGAGAGGGAGAAACACAGTCTTTCCTAGGGAAAAGTCTCCCAGTTAGTCCTCTAATGCCAAGCTGTCAACCCTGAAAACATGTACATGCAGGTAACATTATACAGCCTGGGCAGGTTGTATTCATGTATTTAGGAGTGTGTGTGTGTGTGTGTGTGTGTGTGTGTGTGTGTGTGTGTGTGTGTGTGTGTGTAAATCAATAATTAAAAGGAGGCAATGAATTTGAGAGAAAAGGGGTTACATGAGAGGGGTTGGTGAGAGGAAAAGGAAGTGGGGAATGATGTAATTATAACATCAAGAAAATGATTATTTAAAAAAAAAATGAAAGCTGCCGGGCGGTGGTGGCGCATGCCTTTAATCCCAGCACACAGAAGGCAGAGGCAGGTGGATCTATGAGTTCGAGGCCAGCCTGGTCTACAGAGCGAGTTCCAGGACAGGCACCAAAGCTACACAGAGAAACCCTGTCTGGGGGGGGGGGGGGGGGGGATGAAAGCTAATGCCCAGCTTGCTTTCCCTTTTTGAATGCAGTCTAGGACCCAACCCATAGAACGGCACTGCCTGCATTTAGGCTAGGTCTTCCCTACCTCGATTAGCTCAGTCTTGAAACCCTCAGACATACCCAGAGGCTTGTCTTGGAACTGATTCTAAGTCCTGTCAAGCTGACAATTAATATTAGCTGTTCCAGGTGCCTCAGTTCAGAAAGACTAGGCAAGTGGAAACCATAACCCACAGAGCAGAACTGAGGACCAAGGCCATCATCAGAGGTAGCTGGTACCAAGATTCTACCCAAGGTGGCCGTTGCTGGCTGAGGATGCTGGTGTAGTCTGCAGGGGTCAGAGAGGCAGACACTGGGTTGGCATCAGCCAAAAGGAGCAGCTGCTGAGCAAGCAAAGCAGAGGAGGGAGATGCTGAGCAGCCCCCTCAGGATGCAGGGACACACACACCACACCCCCAGAGACCCTACTATTTCTGCTTTAAGTACCCTGTCCACAGGAGATGAGTAGAGCCGGCATCCCCAGGAGTGAAGACCACTCATTTCTTACTCCTGTGTCTGTAATCGAACCCCCATCTCACAGCCCACCCAGAGACCAGCACTCAGTTAATTTCAGAATAAACAGCCCACTCAGAAGATAGTGTGTGCTATGCAATTGCCAAGGCCAAGCACTCACCCGAATGGGCTCATCCGGGAATCCAGGTTTGCTGGGTCTGTCCTGTCGCCGGGACCTCAGGAGCTGTTTGGCTTGCTTTTCTGTCAGAATTGGGGAGGCTTCTGTAAAGAATCAGGAAAAGCCTTGAGAGGTTCCCAGGCCCGGGAGTCCACACTTCATCTCAGCACTCCAGAGAGGATTTGTAAATTCAATCTTGGTTAAAACACAAAGAGGAATCTGTCCTAAAGGATGTGGCATGTCTGAGGACTTGGGGATTTTAAATTGTTTCTACTATGGTTAACTCAGAGCAAATACTTCAGAATTTAAATCTACTTACTTCTTGCAATGGCCCATTCATTTATAGTGGACATTTATGTAATGTATAGAGGTTATTGTTTGTTTGTTTTTATTTGTTTTGAGACAAGGTCTCTTCGCTGGCTGGCCTTGAACTCCACGTCTAGTTGGGATGACCTTGAACTTCTGATCCTCACGAGTGCTGGAATTACAGTTGTTTGCCGCCATGCCCTGTTAACACGGTCCTGGGACTAAACACAGGGCTTCTTCACACATGCTCAGCAAGCACTCTGCCAACTGAGCTGCAACTCCAGCCCTGAATATGGTTTTTAAAAAATATAATCTTTCCCATTCTATCATCTGTGGCAATTAAGACAGTGTTAAATCCGGTCTTCACACACTCCACTCAGAAAATATGGTCACAAAACTGTTCGTGGTGGCGGGGAGGGTAATCACATTCAAACATTAAAATACATTAGCATAATATCCATGATCACATATGCTCTTTTAAAGATGATGTCACTGAAGGCTCATCAGCATTTTTTGAAAATAGTACTCAAACACATCTTAAGACTTTTCAAAGAAAGTAACCCACCTCCATTTTAAAGAGTAGGAATTCTAGAAGCTCACTCTTACAAGAAGAAAGAGTATCAAAATATCAATATATACTATATATGATCACGTCAATACAAAAATAGGCCATATCCTTAGAGAGAGAACCTACCTGAGGAGAAGACCAGCAGAGTGAGGACAAGGACCAACACAAACAGCTTCTCCATGGTGCCAGGCCCCGAGCCCATGACTGAACTCTCCGGACCCGTCCTACCTACTTGAAAGAGGCCCTGTCAGTCCCAATGCCCTGTAGACTTTCACTAACACGGCTTGCCACGTGATGCTAAGTGTATCTGACTCTGAGTTTGTAATAATGACTGTTAAAATATTCCCCCCGCCCCTGAATTCCTGTGACTTTTCATCCTGAGACGGGAAATGATCCCTCTGTAATGTGACCTCCTGAATGTGGTTTTGAGAATATCCATTTCGTGTAAACAGGTCTATCGAGCACATTCTGTGACGTTTCTGAGTATTTCTCTAAAGCTTTGGCTTATAGTCTGTTTCACTGGGTAGCACTCATATCTCTCTCTCTCTCTCTCTCTCTCTCTCTCTCTCTCTCTCTCTCTCCTCCTTTAGGTGGGTCGGTAAGTCATTTAACTCCTTTCTTCTCTTCTTGGAGGACCCAACAAAACCCACCTTTGGGTGTGGTGAAGCAGTGAGGAGAAGCCTGAACTCACAGTAGCTGTGACCCCTCACCATCAGCCATCTCTTTCTTAAAACAGGAAAGTGAGATCCAGAGATGGGAGGCCGAGCCCATGTTCACACACATACACTGGGGAGAATCGAAACCCGTCTCCACACTTCCACTGTGTGTTCTCACTGCACTCCATGCCATAGCTTAGATGCCGACTGCTTATCCATAAAGGCCCCCGTGTTAAAGGCTTGACCCCCAAAATGCCAGTACTGGGGGGAACAACCTTTAAGATGTGGCGCCTCACCCAGATCTAGTGATGTATATGACTTTAATCCCAGCAGTCTGGAAGTAGAGGCAGGCAGATCTCTGTGAGTTTGAAGCTGGTCTGATCTACATAGAGAGTCTTAAGACAGCCAGGGCCATGCAGATAGACTCTGTCTCAAAAAAAAAAAAAAAAGGTCAGGCAGTAGTGGTGCACGCCTTTAATCCCAGAATGCAGGGACCAGAGGCAGGTGGATCTCTTGAGTTTGAGGCCAGCCTGGTCTACAGAGTGAGTTCCAGGACAGCCAGGGCTACACAGAGAACACAGAGAAAACTTGTCTCAAAGAACAACAGCAAAAAACAAAACTGCGGAGCCCACCTAGGAAGTCCTAAGGTCACTGGGAGCGTGCTCTGATGGGGATTGTGGGCCCTGGCTCCGTACCTCTTTCTCTTTTGCTTCTGAATCACATGATCTACTCTGTTCCATTCTGTGCTCCTGCCATGATATGCTGCCTCACCACAGGCCCAAAGAGGAGCAGTCAGTCACGCGCTAGAACCCCCTAAACCTTTCTAATGTTCTCAACCGTCCTACTGCTGAGACCCCTTAATACAGTCCTCCATGTTGTGGTGACCCCCAACCACAAAACTATTTCATTGCTGCTTCATAACTGTAATTTCACTAGCTGTTCTTCAGAAGGACCCAGATTCAGTTCCTGGTACCCACATTCATAACTCCAGTCAAGCACATACATGGTAACACATGCATGCATTCAAGCAAAACATTCATATATACAATAAAATAAACCTAAAAAAAATTTAAGGAAAAGCAGCCATGAATTGGAAAGAGGAACAAGGTGAGAGGGTACACAGGAGGGTTTGTTGGGAGAAAATAGAAGGGGGAAATATAATTACATTACACTCTCAAAAAAATTGTAAATAATTGTTTAAAGAAACTTTTTGTCTTTAAAAATTGATTCTCTCAGATATTCCATCACGGGGACATAAACCTGACTAACACACGCATAACACACTTCTTCCTGCACAGGGTTTGGAGAAATATCAGGAAGACCATAAGCAGCCTTAGCCAGACTTAAGGTTATTTTCGTAAAGATAAGTAAATCTGCTGGGTGTGGTGGCACACTGCCAGAATGCCCGCTCCTGCGGGGTAGAAGCAGGAGGGCCAGCGGAGTTCAAGGTCCTCTCCACCACACAGGAAGTTCCGTGCAAGCCTGAATCTCAGGACCCTGTCTCAACTGAAGAGGAGGAGAATCCAACATGCTGCTGAAGTTCTCTGAAATTCATCAATAAATATTATATGAAGAAATCATTAGATACATAACAAATTATAGCTGAAAGGGATGTGGCTTTTCTTTGCACAAGGCTCTCCATTCAGAATAATGACCGCTGTCCTGTGGTCACTTTGCCAGCTCCAAAGAAAACAGAACCTGACCCGCAGTTGTCTGAGCTTATGCTAATGCTAGGTAACTGATATTAAACCGAAATGTCCTCAAAAAGAAAAGAAAGAAGAAAAATAAACAAAATTATAAAACTGAAATATCCTGGCCACTGGGCTGGTATTTTGAGCAGACAGCAAACAGGAAAAGAAATCATGTGCTGTCAGTAAAAGTTACCTCACATCTCTCTCTCTCTCTCTCTTTCTCTCTCTTTCTCTCTCTCTCTCTCTGAAACAGGGTCTCATTATATAGTCCTGGCTGTTCTGAAACTCACTCTGTAGCCAAGGCTGGCTTCAAACTCACAGAGATCCACCTGTCTCTGCCTCCTGAGTGCTGGGATTAAAGGCGTGAGACACACATCCAGTTGCCCATTCATTTCTGACAACATGGGGTTTGGTTTTAGGAGCTCTGCTGCAGCTAGCAACCTTCTGTCTTTATAGTTCTCAAGAACCTGGGAGATGGCTCAGTGGTTAAGAGCCCTGCATCAGGCTTTTTCTTTGGGGCCACCAACCAGCTCCCAAATCAGGACATGGAAACATATTCGTTATAAATGCTCGGCCTTAGCTTATGCTCGTTTCCGGCTTTTTTTTCTTTGACTTAATTCAACTTGTTTCTCTTCATCTACATTTTGCCTCAGGGCTTTTTACCTTTCTTTCTATATGTCCTCCTTTCCTGCTTCCTCCAGTGTCTGACTGGCCGGCGGCTGCCTGGCTTCTGGCCCCAGGCATGTCCCCCTCTTTTCCCCTCATTCTTTTCTTCTCTCTCATCCTCTTCTCTTATTCTCTCTGTCCAACAACCTAGCTATTGGCCACTCAGCTCTTTATTAGACCAATCAGGTGCCTTAGGCAGGCAAGGTGAAACAATGCAACACATCTTTACATAATCAAACACACATCCTTACAGGTTAGACAAAAGCAGCATAAACAAATGTAACATATCTTTACATTGTTAACAAAGGCAGCAGAAACAAATGTAGCACATCTTTGTCCAGTTAAAATAACATTCCACAGCAAGCCCTGGCTCCTCTCCTAGAGAACCGAGTTTGACTCCCTGCACCTACATGGTGGCTCACAACCGTACCTGTAACTCCAGTTCTAGAGGAGAGGCTAGTTTTTATGGGCACTGCATGGACATGGTACACAGATATACACACAAGCAATACACCCACACACATAAAATAAAAATAAATAAAAGACAAGTTTCAAAAAAAGAACTAAGGAATTTTAGAGTATTATTTCAGGAATATGTATATTTGTCACATTAAGTATTTTGAGGTGGTTTTTGGTTTTTGGTTTTTCTTTTGGGGAGGTGGGGAGGGGTGGTCAGGCTGGTAAAATGGATACTAAGCCTGATAATCTAAATTCAATCCCCAGGACGCACAGGGTGAAAAAAACTGAAATACTGACCTTCACACAAGTGTCAGGGAATTCTTGTGCCATACACATATGTATCTATAGAAACACACAAGTAAATAGATAAATGTAATAAAATATATAGGGATCTTGTTTTTTGTTTTTTGCACATACTCATAGTTTCATTGACTTAATTTAACCTGTTTCTCTTCATCTATGTTTTGCCTCAGGGCTTTTTACCTTTCTTTCTGCTCTTTGTGGTTGGGTAGAACACTGTTGTTTTGTTATATCAAGTAAACTTCTTCCATCAATTAGAAAAAAAAAATCTATACCTAGCTAGAAATTTCTAAAATGTTCAGTATACATTCACTCTGAAAGCATTTCTCTAATCTAGTGATTTCTGTCCAATAAAAAACATAATGTGGGCCAGGCAGTGGTGGCGCATGCCTTTAATTCCAGCATTTGGGAGGCAAAGACAGGAGGGAATCTCTGAGTTCAAGGCCAGCCTGCTCTAAAGAGGGAGTTCCAAGACAGCCAGGGCTACACAGAGAAACCCTGTGTCGAGGAGAAAAAAAATGCAGAAAACATAATATGAACCAGGCATAGGCACACAGCTGTAATCCCAGCACTCAGGAGACTCGGAAAGGAGAATCATGATTTCCAAGTGGACCTGAGATACTCTGTAAGACCCTCCATTCAAACAAACAAACAAAACAAATAGATACATTAGAAAGAAACTTTTTTGGCTGAGGATGTATCAGACCCTTGCCTAGCGTAGGCATGAAGCCTTGGGTCTGAGCCCCAGCAGCTCATTCATAACTGAGTATGGTGACATAAGTCTGAAATCACAGCACCTGGGAGGGGGAGGCAGGAGGGTCGGAAGCGCAAAGCCATCCTTGGCTACATAGTCACACGCCTTTACCTCCAGGACTCTTGTGGCAGAGGCAAGCAGATCTCTTTAAGTTTGAGTTCCGGGGATATTATAGAGAGACCCTGTCTCCAAAAAAAAACGCACAAAAACAAAACAGAAAAAGAAACATAAAATATAAACCTGGGCTATTTCATACCGTCTAGTGTTACTGAATCAGGCCTTCAGACTCTGACGTGTTTCAAGGGCTCCACAGCTGCATCTGGCTAATGGCTACTGAATTAGACATCAGGGGCCTGCAGTCGTCCATCTTTCTTGCTGCTCTCCCATTCACAGCTCCTGTACTACAGCCACAGCTGGTCTCCCATCATCCCTGCTGCCCACGTCAATCCTTCCTCCGTGCAGCAGCACTGACTGTCTCCACCAGATAAAACCTCGCCCAGGTAAGGGGGCACACAGCTTTGGAAGGCAGGGGCAGATGGATCTCTGTGAGCTCCAGGCCAACCTGGTCTACATAGTGAACCCTGTCTAAAAACATTGGGGGGAAAAAAGATTGAAAAAATGGAATTAGAAACTCCACTACCTTCCCAAACAAAATGGTGTGTGTGGGGGGGGATCTTTAACCGTGTGCTACGTGGGCCCTGAGCTATATGCATATAGCTCTTTCCAACCCGGTTCCCACCAGCCCTCCAATCCTCCCCAATCACTCATTTCTACTAAACAAGTTCTTGCCTACCTCAGGACCTTTGCATGTGACACCTCCTTCTCATCTTTCAGGTGTCAACTTGAAACTTCTCCCATCTACGTAAGTTTCTCCCTGCCCTTCTTAGCCTTCTCAGTAAAACTCCCCTTCCTCCCACACTCATTTCTGTCCCATAATTTATTAATATCATATTCAGTTATTTGCCTTTTTTTTTTTTTTTTTTTTTTTTTTTTTGGTTTTTCGAGACAGGGTTTCTCTGTGTAGCTTTGCGCCTTTTCCTGGAACTCACTCTGTAGACCAGGCTGGCCTCGAACTCACAGAGATCCGCCTGGCTCTGCCTCCCGAGTGCTGGGATTAAAGGCATGCGCCACCACGGCCTGGCCAGTTATTTGCCTTTTAAAGGCCGTCTCCTCCACTGGGCTGTAAACTCTTAGTGTGTATTCTCTAATGGACTGGAGAGGTGACACCGGAGAGTCAGAGCCTGTATCACACCCTGGGATGCTCAGGTGGAAAGAGGACCCCACAGGTGTGGAGCTACAGGAGCTGAAGCTTGGAAGAGCCTGTTCAGTTTTGCCTCTCAGAAGAGGATGCAATTCCCAATATGTCCACAAGGTGGCAGAGTAGAGAGCAGGACCCTACAACTAAAACCACAGGGAAGAAATGAAGCCACTAAACTTTCCTATTCTGGAGGCAGCCAGGCTCCCAGGGAATCACCGGTCCTAGGAAGAGGTTGTGCTCCGGTGCCCAAGACTATTTCTTTACTACTTAGATCGTCTTTATTTTTTTGTGTTCTTCATTCCTAGGGTTCAAACCCAAGGCCTTG